CTGGGTCCACTGGGGCTCGAACTCTGAACCTTCTTGCTGTGAGGCGACAACACTAAACTGGTGAAACGTCACATTGTCCAATGTAACATTGGATATGATTTCATTCTGATTATGGGGTGATACACTATTGTCCCTCTGCATGCTCTCACACAGTAAATGAACATTCCCCCGGAGGAGCTGGAGGAAGTGTCTGGAGAGAGGGAGGTCTGGGCATCTTTGCTTAGACTGCTGCCCCCGCGACCCGGCTCCGGATAAGCGGAAGAAAATGGATGGATGGATGGATGTAAACTTTCAGATTCTCATTTTTGGGTAAGTTACTATAAAAGCAGATATGCTACAAATAGTTTAATCTGTGTGTACCTTATGTTGGACTAACAGCAACACTGCCTATGTCCCTAACATGACATACACAACACAAATACCTGTTTTTTAAAAAGCTGGCACTCCTCAGGGGTCAGAGTGTCAGCTTTTGCAATAAGTGGAATGACATTGACTTTATCATGGAGTCGCTTCATGAACTCAATGTCCAGTGGCTTCAAACTGAAGAGGAGACAGAACAAGAACTGTTAGAACGCCAAGCAATTTTATGTTCAACATTTTGCCAAAACCACCAAGTCAGTGCAAGTCTGTTCATTTAGTATAGAGCAGAGAAGGCACTGGCCAGGGCCAGGATGCTTAGTTAACACTGAAGAACAGAGGTCCACATGTCTGTTTTTTACCTGATAATTTCATCTGTCTTCAAAAGTGTGAATGTATTTTTCTGGGTGTTAGCTCAGGAACTCGACGACCTGATGCTCCCTGTCCAGTCAGTGTGTGTGGGGACAGGCTCTGGGGACGTCATCTCTGAACAGGATGCGCCATTATAAAAAACGGATCGATTGAACCAACTTGCTATTGTTGACAAAGAATTTAATTTAGGTGGGATGGAAGCCCTCTCACCCCATAATGAAAAATTCATTTACAAGATACACTAAATGTAAATATTTATTGACCTAAAAAAAGCATTTGACACAATCAATCATGGGTTATTAATGGACAAGTTAGAAAAATATGGGATCAGAGGAATGGTTCTGAAATGGATTAGAAGTTATTTGACACAGAGGCGTCAATTTGTGAAGTTGGGTGAATACCAATCGAGTGAGCTGGACATTGTATGTGGAGTGCCTCAGGGTTCTGTTTTGGGACCTAAATTATTTATACTATACATCAATGATATATGTAAGGTTTCTGATTTAGTGAAAGTGGTTTTATTTGCTGATGACACTACCATATGGGCATCGGGTGAAAACCTACAGCAACTCTCTGGACGGGTTACACAGGAACTTGAGAAGATAAAGAAATGGTGTGACAGTAATATAGTATCTCTGAATTTGGATAAAACTAAATTTATGGTATTTGGGAATCGTAGACTAGATAATGAACTTCAATTGAAAATTGGGGGAGCTAATATAGAACGAGTACATGAAATTAAATTTCTAGGTGTCATAGTTGATGACAAATTCTCCTGGAAATCTCATATCAGATATGTTCAGAATAAAATAGCAAAAAATATATCAATATTGGCAAGGGTTAGATATATTTTGGACGGGAAAGCACTACGGATTTTGTATTCTTCATTGATTTTACCATACTTAGA